ACAGATAGAGCATTTGTTGATATATAAAATAGGAAATAAAATAAACCTAAAAATTTGAAATAAAACAAACATAAAACCCTACTTTAGTTCAACTCACTTGCTTGGTTGAACACCAGGGAGGTCTCAACTGAAGAAATCAGCAGGGAGAGCCTGGAAGCATCACAAGATTGCCTTTACCTGGGACCCACAGGTCCATGGCTGCTCTCAGTCTTAAATTCCCAAAGACTGAGGTCTTATCAGATCTCAGAACTGCTGGGCCTGATGTGTGTGCTCTCATGTCAGTGCAACACAAACACAATGGACATAGAAATACAGTGCTCTTCTTAATTTCCAGAAACAAACCTTATGGCAAGACTGGCCAGAATACTTAATATTTATCCAGATAGACTTGTCCTACATAAGTTCCATGGCAACTAGCCCCATATCAGAGTCATGCTGTGTGAGTGCTTAAGGACCCCAAGCTTGCTAGTCTGGTGTATCACCCTCCAAAATACTCAGAGAATTGTTGTGCTTGAGATACCTGCATTCATCTAACTTACCTTGCAAAATTTAATGAATTGGACCAACTGACCATGTCAAGTATAATTTCATAATTAAAACAATCATCTTTCTCAATGCTGAAATTACATCTATGGGTGAGACAGAGTAAGTTAGTTTTGGAGGGCAATCTAAACAAATTTTGGACATATGTTGCTTAATGATGGGGAAATATTCTGAGAATTATGTCATTAAGGGGATCTCACAGCTGTATGAACATCTTAGATTGTACTTAAATAAATTAAAATATGTATAGTGTTATTAGTCTATATAATTTTATGGGACCTACATGGCATTTGTGTGCTATTCATTGATGGAAATGTAGTTATGTCCTACAAGCCTGTATATTGATTTGTCTGACAAGGGGCTAAAACTAAGTACATACTTCATTACTCTCCACAGCATGGTCCCCAACCATGTTGGCATGAGGGACAGGTTTTGTGGAAGACTAATTGATCATGGACTGGAATGAGGGTATGATTTAGGGATGATTCAAGTGCATTAAACTTACTGTGCATTTTATTTATATTATATTTACATTGTAATATATTATTGTTGTAGTCAGGGTTTGCAAGGGACTACATTTACTACAGAACACACAAATTATAGGGTTATTTTATAATTTTCACCCAAAGAGTCAAATGCAGAAGAGTGTAAGAGATCTGTCCACACACTAGAAAACCAAAAAATCCAGCTGAGAGCCTGGATCCCACAGCAGTGTCCTGCATGAGTCCAGCAGGAGGACTACAGACCACAACAATGTCTCATGCTAGTCAGTATCAAGGATCTGCACTGGGAAGGCCCAAAGGTCAGTGGTAGAAGCTCAAAAGTCTGTGCCAGCAGGATGAAGGATCTGTGTCAATAGGCTGAGGAATCTGCACTTTAGCCAGGAAGAGATGCTCAAGGTAAGGACCAGAGCTCCCTTGAAGAGAACTGAAGTCATCCTCAACAACAGTGAGGACATGAGCTCCTGCAATGTAAGAATGGCTGAGTTCATATAAGGAACACCGACATGACAAGCTTCTTCAGGACAATCAACAGCATTCCATCTTCCCCTCTAGTTCTCATTTTATGCTGTTGGCAACAGTCTTTGGGTGAGCCTCCCACACCCAGAACCATGCTGACTCAGTTCAGATGGGTGTTACAAGGTGACCATTAGTTAATCCCCACAATTATAAAATAATTATGCATTCAACATAATGCATAATTAGCAGGAGCTCTGAGTTTGTTTTCCTGTAACTATGCCGTCCCATCTGGAGATGATGTAAGACACTGATACCAGACATGTGTTGCTTATGTCAAGTCAACTCTCATCTTGTTTTGGTTCCTATCACTGCAAAAAGCCATGCTTCACAGAGATAGAATGCTGGAAATTAAGGAGGCTTTTCAGTATTTTTTTGGTAATATTGGGATATTATGCCTTGACTTTACTCCAAAATATATGGAGATTTGTAGCTGTCTCAAACATACTTTTAAGGTTACCATCATTTACGATCTCAAGCAGTTGATCTTCCTCTACTACAGACAAAACCCATTCACTTGGGTTATATATAAGTGGATCACAGATCCACTTCTTCCTAATTTGTGGGCCTTTTGTGGTTGGGAAGTAGTGCTCAGACTCTTTTGAGCACTGAGATAGATGATCCTGCACCATCTGGGAGAAAGGAGGTTCTGGCTCAGTCTCTTTCAAAATCTCTGCTGATGTTGGAAACATGTCAAAAATTCCAGTGTACACTCATCACCCCCATAATTCCAGTTTGGCTTTGATTGCAGCCATACTATCTTCTGATGGGAACACAGTTACCATTCCTCCTTAAAGTGAGATGTTTAGTTGTTGAAAGGTTGAATATGTCTTCTGGGTGCACAAATTCTGTATCACTGAAGTATGCTGCCAGTGGTGATGGGTTTTCTAAAAGAAATTCCTGGAACAGTTCTCATAAATCAAAAATTCCAGCTAGTGTTTCACCTTTAGGGGTCATCTTACTTCTGTGCTTCTATCCTTATAAAATTGTGCAAATAAATGTGAGTTAAGGGCATGTGCTTTAAAGTGATTGATAATTTTATTTGTATCCTGCAGAATATAGTTAAGTTCAGATGAAATATTTGGCTAGCCAGAATTTTTCTGTGAGTGACCAGGTATGTGGACTTGCATTCAGAAATGACTTTTTTTGACCCAAGCAGTAAAACCAGAAATCTGTCCAGTCGTGCCAGCTGTCTCCTCTGTGCATATACCAATACCAAATGACTGATTTAGTTTACTTAATATGTAATTATTCAACATATCCCCATGCATATCATCCTGAAAAATATATTGCACAAAACAAGCATTATTGCCTTATTGTCAACAATGGTAAATTCAACCTGGATTGTGTGTCATGGTGACTCATTAATCTTAACACTGGGTTTCAATGTCCTCTTGCATTTGATCAATTTATCTAGTTATGGTTCTGGCCAAGAGAAGATACCAGCCACCTTCTGAGCTGCAGCCTCTCCTGAAATTCACAACAAATGTCCTTAACACCAGGCAGGATCAACCAGTAATAAGGGGTTTCTTAGTTTCAGTAATGCATTTAACCTCTAAGAATAATGCTCTCACTGCAGACCCATTTGATGAAGTGGTTGTCTTCAAAAATTGCTCCTGTTCTTGTGTTCACATTTTTTTCTTTTGGAAAACTTCAGAAGCTTGCATTTTGATGCAGAGTTCCTGGGCTCTGTGGGCCAAAGCGCTTCTGAAAATCTCATGGCTTCACTGGCTAACTGGTTGCCACGTATTATACAAAGCAGGCTTGGATAATTTGAGTCACCTGTTGCAATAAACTTGTAACTTAAAGAGGACTCTTTCAGATGGAGTCTCCTTGAGTCTCCTGTTGTCTCATTATTGAGCCTTTTCCTTTTTTCAAAGAGGCCCTTCAGTTCTGTTTGCTTTTTTCTCATTTTGGCTAGGATTAAATTATGGGCTTACCAAAATTGCCTGAAAAAGTACGCAGTGCAGGAAAGAGGTATGGATAAAAGCAGTAAATAAAATAATGGGGGGGTCATGCACAGAGTACAATCAGTGTTGTGTTTTGACTTAAAGCCTATCATCAAAGTATTATAGGCAGCTAATTAATATACAGTCAGAGAGGGACTGGGCTTTCAAGGAAACCAGCATGTGGGATGGGCATGGTGGTGCACAGCTGTAATCCCAGCACTCACGAGGCTGATGCAAGAGGATCACCAGGAGTTCCAGGCCAGCCTGCAGTACACAGTGAGGCTCTGTCTCAAAAAGCAAAATGAAACAAAGCAAATAAGCAAAAACAAGCCAAAATAACAAAGAGAAGGAAGCCAGAACAAAAATAAAGACACCAGAATTTTGGCTGGAGGTCCATCTGAGAAAGGTTAAGCCTAGAGATAAAGATGCAATGGTCTGGCTTACATGCTTCTATAAGGGATAAGCAGTAACTGGGAATTACACTGTATTTAGCACTATTTCATCCAGTAAGTCCAGATAGGCATCAGTTGCCCAGGGGGATGACTGGAGTGTCTGGACCCATCCCTTCCCCAAAGGCCTTTGGTCCCCAGGTATCCTTGCTACAAGACTCATTTATCTATTGGATCAATATTAGCTAAGCATCTATACTTATAATCCTATAGGTTGACTGTAGTTTAAGTGACTTCCTTCCTTGATGTTGTGGGACCAGGAACTAGGCACATTTGACATCTAGTATGTTGAGAGTTATTTTTCTCCTATAGTAGATGCAGCTGCACAGTTGAAGTACATTACATCATTTGCCACTATCAAGCCTGCAACCAGATGCAGCTTAATTTTTACTTGTCACTAACAGGACCTGCAAGCAGTAGATTTATTATGATTTCTATTCAGTGAAGTCTCTTTGGTAACATTAATCTATACTTGTTAAGTCCTCCCCAGTGCTATCATCAAAGTCTCAGAAATACAACAACAAGTGCGCCGCAGGAGGCTGTTTGTTATCATTGAAACTCTGAAAGATTCACCACCACTGCATAAGATGCTCATAAGGAGCAGGCAAACTAGATCCCTCACGCGTGCAGTTCAGAGTAGGGTCCATGTTCCTGTAAGAATCTACTGCCCCTGCTGGTCTCACAGGAGGCAGAGCACAGGTAGTAATGCGAGTGACGGGGAGTAGCTGTAAATACAGATGAAGCGTGGTTTGCTCACTTGCCACTCACTTCTTGTGCACTGTTCCTAACAGGCTACAGACTCACCCTGATCTGTGGCCTGGGGACTGGGAAAACCTGCTCTCCAGGTTCTGTACACTGAATTCTCTGTATTTTAATGGATGCCAGAGAGAAAATCATCCTGGAAGCAAGGTAGAAATCTAGATCCAGATCTGTAGGGAGATTTAGATGTAAATATATAGATATGTTCCTCGTTATTGTGGATTTAATGTTGTGCTTGTTTATCTAATCACTAAAGAATATTTAATGCTTGTGAACATGCACAGAGAAACAAAGCTGAGTCAACTGACCAAAGTGCTCCCAGCTGAAGTCAAGGGCAACTCTGCCTTTTCGTTGCTGCTCTCCTGCTGTAAACAGGTATCTTTTCACATTTAATTTAGTGCCAGGTTTTTCATATTTTTGTATTTTTCACGGGTGATTTTGTTTATTAAAATGACCCTCTTGCATAATGCCGGGCTCTGTTTAGTATACTCAAGTACTAAAAAGCTATGATTTACTTTAAGGAGAAAATATGTATGTGAGATAATCTTCAGTCAGGCATGAGCTGGTAGTGTCATTTGATGTTAGATTTTTGTTAATTAACCCACAATATACATTAAATAGGATGAGTAGGAACACCCATGAAACAAATTTATCTATCAATCAGGTGACAAAAATGTGTGACCAGAGGCTCACAAGGAACTAACCCTTCACTTTTCCTAAAGCAATAGTTTTGTATTCACTAATTCAGGTTCACGTTGACTGCACAGAACACAAATTCTGGAAATAATGAGAATCACTTGAGAGTTACACACAGCAGCACATGCAAAAATTAAAGGAAAAATGATCTCAAAATTAATCAAAGCTGCAAATATAAAAGTCAAATCTGTAAAATTCTTAGAATAAAACTCAGGGGAAAACTTTAAGACATTAGATTTGACAATAATTTCATGGATATGATGCCATAAATGGGACAACAAAAGAAAAAAAAGTAGGACTACATAATCAAACAGTAAGAAGGCAACCTACAGCATGGGAAAAATGGTAAATCACATATAATGAGTAAATCAGGGTAAGAATTTAGTGTTCAGAATATATAAGGAACTTCTATAACTCAACAGGAAAAAACTAAGCAATCTGATAAAAAATGGGCAAAGTTCTTGAGGAGACATTTCTCCAAAGAAAATACACAAACAGACATTAAGCATATAAAAACTTGCTCAATGTCACTAATCATTAGGGAAGAGCTAGTTAAAACCACGAGGAGAGTCAGCCATTAGGATGGCTACTGCTAAACACCTCCAGAAGCAATAACAAAATAAGTGCTGAGCAAGGCTGCAGAAAAAGTTTTAACACATGTGCCCTACTGGTGGTAGGAGCTGAGTAAAACTATGTTAATTCCTCAAAGATTAAAAATACAATTATCATCGGGCTTGGTGGCATACCCTTGTAATCCCAGAAATTCCACTTTTGGTATATATTTGAAAGAACTGAAAATAAGTTCTCAAAGAGATACTCATATGTACATGTTCATGGCAGAGTTATTCTCCATAGGTAAATGGTGGAAGCAACCTAGGTGCCCACTTATAAAAGATGGATAAACACAACACAGTGTATGTGTTAACGGAACGTTGTTTACGTTTGAAGAAAAGAAATTCTGGCACATGTTACAATGCAGATGAACCTCGAGGCCATTATGCTGGGTGAAATAAACCATGGCAAAAGGGTAAACCCTGCATGATTCTACCTATGTGAGGTAGTTAGAATATTCAAATAGAGAGAGATACAAAGTAAAATGCTGGCTGCTCAGGGCTAAGGGGAACAGAATTATGCCATGATGAATGTGGTGCAGAGGTTCATCTGAGCAGATGAGAAAGTTCTAGAGATGGATGGCAGTGAGCACAATGTGAATGTTTCTAATACTGTGGAACTGCACTTAAAAATGGTTAAGGTATAAAATTACATGTTATGTGTCATTTGCCACATTTAAAAAGAAAAGACACGTAACTCAAATTGGAATTTAGTATAATGCATTCTTCTCCTGTCATTTTAACCAAAAAACCCGCCCAGCTGGTTTCATGGCATGTAAATGGTAAGAACTTGGAAAGAAAATAAGAAATCCTACAAAATCTAATGATTTAGGTAAACACTTTTCAGAAGCCAATAACATTACTTTGAAGAAAAAAAAAACTGAGAAGAAATGACACCAGATTATCCTATTCTTAACATGCTGGGTACTGAAATATATGCGAAATTTCCTCAAAGCTTACGCAGCTGAGGAAAATTTCCTGCAGCAAACTGCCATTCAAAGAGAATTTTACAAAGGCAATACACTACCTTTTTAAAAACACACATTTAAAATATTCATGCCTACATTAAGAGCAGCTCTAAAGTTCTTGAAACTAAAGAGAGAAAACATGAATGTCCCAATGCTTTGTTTGCACAATTTTTGTCTGTGCAGCCTTAATTTCCATTTGAATTCGAAAATGCCTTTTCCCCCCTAAAAAACAATTTGTATGTGCGGCATTTATCTTGCAGATTTCCATTCCTACTGGGCATGCATAGCAGCCAGACCCTGGGACGTGACTGTCACCCAAGGCTGATATTTGCAAGGCTTATCTCTCCAGTGGCCCTTTGGTCCACTTGTTACATTTTTTGCAGCTAGGAAATGCTGCCACAGGTGAACAGGCGGCCTGTGTGCGTGAAGCTAAGAGTGGGGTGGTGTGAGGAACACTTTCTGTGGTGCATTGTAGTTGAAGCGCCTCTGGGAAGATTTTTTTCCACAGGATACAAAGTAAGCTTTAGTATTTCATGGAGTGATCTGAGATGAAAGCAAGTTGGAGCCTCTAAGACTGTCTATTCCAAGGCACCACTTTACAGTGTCCACATGTCAGGTCTGGGAGGAGGTTTTAGGCAAGTGTCCCCTGGTGGGAAGAGGAGAGGTTTTGGTGAGCAGACAGCTCAGGGAGGGGCTGAATTGAGTTCCTTTGTTTAAGAGCTTTGTGGCCTTGGTTTGGTTAATTGATCCCTTGCTGACCTGCAGCCTCTTGATCTTAAATTTGGAAACAGGACTGTACTCATGTGAGAGACAGTGTATGAGATGCTGGTGAAATGCCTGGTATAGAGCACGTGGTCCATAAATAATAGCTGATATTGCTGTTTTGCTTTTATTCTCACTGTGTTTGGGAAGGATATCTGCAGAAAGTTCAAAGGAAGTTCATCGGTGCTTACAGATAACAGCGCCACAAAGGAAAACGTGGCGTTGTGCTTTCCATGGCAGTTAGAAGCCACACAGACTGGAGCTGTCAACAGATTGGATGATTTGGGACTTTTAATTACAACTCTTATAGTTTTGGAGGCATGCTGAAAATAAGATGGAAAATTCCAGAGATCTACCTCTGATGCTGGCTTTACCTCAGAGATTAAACAAAACCTCCTGGATGGCAATCCCAAGATTACTGGTGTCGTTATTATTACTGTACACAACTTTTGGGCAGTGAGTAAAATGTACCCTGTTAATTGAAATCAGTTCAGTTCCTGGGAAACCTCAGATTGAATGACTCAAATTTGTGCTGCTAAAATTGCCTGGAGATATAAGCTTCCTGCTTTACATGAAATCTGCTAGAGAGATTTAAAATTTATCAATCCTCTTAGCTTTTCTGCTTTTAAAACCACAAAAAAATGGCCTGTCTCAGAGAAACCTTGCATATTACAATTCAGTTTTTAGACGTGGCAGGAGCTCATTCACAGTGGAATTTATTTCACATTCCATTTGGGGCATGCACAAGATTTAAAAGCAATGCTTTTTCTCTAAAGTACTCACTACAAAAGATATATCACACATACTCAGGCTATTTAAAACTCAGCAAGGGAAATATCAACAGATTTTTCTCCAAGTGTTCTCTCTGATCAGCTTGGGAAATAGAAACCTTTTTATGAAAAGCAACGAGCTGAAACAATTCTGGTGCTTTAAAGCATAGGGGTATCTGTCCTACTTCCTTGGTATTCTTGGCATCTTTATAAAAGTCGTGTTCATACAGGTGGATATATATATATGAATAGTATTTTGCCCTTATGAATGGCTTTCCTATTTGCATACCTTCGGTGATTTTAAGAATATTTATGAAGCAACAAAATACTTATTAATAATTTCTGGTTTAAATTGCTTATTTATCCACCCAGAACCCCTCAGCTCTATGTAATAGAAATCAAACTAATGCTGTTTCTCTTGACAAGAAAATCTCTGGGCTCTCCAACTATGATGGTGAGGGGTGACAACTTCAAATGTGGTGTGATCTCATTAAAAATATTGCCAAAAATACTTCCCACATTTTACCCCTCACTCTTAATTCTAGCCTACAAAACAAAATCAACCAATCTATCTATCTATCTATCTATCTATCTATCTATCTACATCTATTCATCTATCTAAGAAACTGAGAGAATTCTGCAGGTCAGGGTGGCAGTCTGGAGACACAGGGGAAAGCTGATGTTGCAGCTTGAATCTGAAAACACTGTTAGGAAGTGTCTTTTTTCGTAGGGGATCTCAGTCCTTTTCTCTTAAAGCCTTTGATTGATTGGATGAGGGCCGACTTTCCAAATTATGGAGAGAAATCTGCTCAAAGTTTATTGAATTAAATATTAATCGCATCCAAAAATACCTATACAACGAAATCTAGATGGGTGCTTGACCAAAACCTGGGTGCCATGTCGCAGCCAAGTTGGTGCATAGAATTAGCCATCACTTACCCCTCTTGGGAAGGTCATCCTTCAGCATCTCATAGGTTGTGATCTGAAGCTGGTTGTTCACATTGTCCTTGCAGTTTAGTTATACCTGATAAGGGAACTGTGTCTTCTGGTGGTCTGACCAGAGTCCTGGTTTGACTTGGCTTCCATGGCTAAATCAAGATGGGGGATGGGGGCTGAGATTTGCTGAGTGGGCAGGCTGTTGTCATTTTTCCATTGCTGCTAAAGACAGAAGCGTCAGCTGGCACCATCATAACTAAGGAGAATGTTTTCTCCATTTCTTCTATGGGCCAGGGGTGTAGCTCAGCATTGAAATGTCTGCCGGGCAAGGGCAACATCATGGGTTGGATTCCTGGTATGCCCATTTCAAAAGAAAGACCTCTTCTGACAGAAGAGAAATAGGAAAGCAAGCTGGGAAGATGAAAATTTGCCTCTTGTCATCTATGTACTGCAAACTGGGTGTGAATCAAACCCATTGCTCAGTTTTGTATGGTTGGTGAGCAAAGATGGAGTTTTGTATTTTTAATCATTAAAGAAATCAAAAGAAGAAAAGTTCTTGAATATGTAACAGTGTTATGAAATCTCAATTTTACTGTTTAAGCATGAAAGTTTATTAGAATACAGGCTACCCCCTCTTGATGTGTTCTTTATTCTATAAGGACAGAGATGAAGGACTTCAACAGAGACAGAGGCAGTAGTATGACCTAAATACCCCAACCTTGCTCCTTCACAGAAAACACTGCTGGGCTCTGTGTTATAGCCTTGCATCTGTAGCTGGGATTTAAAATACTAACTCAATTTAATTCATTTTGAAAGTATTTTCTTATGTACATATATATTTGCTTGTGGTGAAACTAGTTGCTAACAGAAACTATAAAGGATTTCAATACTCAATAAGATTATAAAATAAATGTTAAATTCTCTCTCTCTTCTTATTCCCAAGACCTTTCTAGATGTAAGAATTTTCACCATTTAAAAATATAATTATTTTTGTGATTATGGCTTTAATTCATTATCATGCTTTGATTCCTGGTTGAGCAGCGTTAAGTGTCTGTTCTACATTATGCTATGGAGGATTTAGTTCATTTCTCCTTTCGATATCTTATAGAATATTTCTAAAACTTGTGGTTGTTTGTTGTTGGTACAATACCATAATGTAATTTACAACACTTATTTACTTTTTACCTATGGAATCTGGAAATATGTCTTCTCTCCTAAACCTGCATGGGGAAGGATTTTGGGCTGCTGTATTTCCCTTGGTTCCTCTTTAGCTTCTGCTGTACTTTAACTTTTCAAGATTAACAACATTTTTGTCTGAAAAATTAATCTCACATTCTTTATACCTAGGTTGAACTCAGTGTTTACCTTGTTCAGTGACTGGTGAGGCCATTTTATCTAAAAAAGGTATGTTTTTACCATTATCACTTCAATTTTTTCTCCATATTTTCTTCATCTTTAATTTCAGTTAGATGAATGGTATTCCTTTTGGACTGCTATTTCAAACTCTATTCATTTTCCTCATGTTTTCTTTTTTCTGGAACATTATATCTTTATTTTTCTTTCATGTACCTTCATGACAATGTTTTTAACATTAATTTTCATGAATGTTGTGTCATATTATTTGCCTGTTTCTCCACAAAAAACTGATTATGGTCTTCACATCTCTCTGTCAGAACTGATTTGTTCTTCTTTTGAATATTTTTGAGCCTATCAATTGGATTATTCTAAAATTCTCTTCCATTTTCTCAATTAGGTTTGTTTCCTGTGGTGAGTTTTTCTGTGGAAGCCATTTGGGTCTTTTCATTGTGTTCCTGCTATTCCTTAAGTGTCTGTAGGCCTGTGGTTGTCCCTTCAAATCTGTAAGGCCTGGGTCTGCTAACATGCCCTGTGTTCCTTGTTCTTTTTGGCTCTTCCCCAGAGGTGACAGCAAACAACATATCTGTACCTGTTGAGGGTGGACAGCAAATGTAAGGTATTGCCCAGTTTGCTGATGCAGAAATACAGACCTCACAGAAAAACTGCTTTAGTTGGGAGGTATAACCACTACCATGAATGGAGTTGGCCCAGGCAGGTGGGTTACTTTGTACAACCAACCACTGAGTTAATCTACAGGATTTTCTTCAATGTAAACCCTGCATACTTTCCTATTCTTTGTACCTGCTCAAAGGGGAGAGGCGGGGGGTGTCTACAATTCCCAAGGAACATTCAATGGCAATATTTGCTATTTTCAAAATGCCCTGCTGTTTCACTTTTCTTTTATGTACGTTTTACCTCTGTCCACTTTTTCTTTTCTCTTGGTAGTTCCTATCAAAACTTCAGAATTTTTTTTTTTTCCTGTGGCACCAGGAATGGAACTCAGGACATTGCGCTTGCCAGGCAGGCACTTATACCACTGAGCTATATCCCCAGGCCCAGAATTTATCTCCTTTAAAGAGCCTTAGAGACTTTGGTTGTCTAAGTTTTAGAATTTGTGTTTCCACTACTCTCCGTTTATGCTCTGGTTACTCCATTCTATAATAATTAATTCTCTAATTATCTTTTTGAAAATTCTCAGCAACTTCAGATAAGGACAAGCTATCTTCAATGCCTCACAAAGACTTGAATTTTACTTATTTTTCTTTTGCTGAGTGTGTGGATGGAAATAATACATAATATGAATTTTCTTACTATTAAATTATTTGAAGGAACTAGATTTATCAAATAAATTAGATGTACAGTTGTATTATACAGCTCCAATTGTTCTGTGGTTGAGAAAGTCTGGCAGAAAAGTTAGACTGGATTCTGATTCTAGAACTCTCTATTATGCTTTTTACAGCCAGGGGATCAATCACAGAAAAATGCCTTGTTAAATCTTTTAAACTTGCTACTCACCATGATTCCTACTCTTGGGAGTAATTTTAATTTTTTAAATTTTTTATTTTAAAAATAAAAGGAGGAAAACATTAACAGACAACCTTTTACAAATTAGCAAAAGAACAGTACAGACAATACAGAGTTACAAACAAAGTGGTAGGAAATTAACAATGCTTCTTGTATTACATATTGATATCTTCAAAGTGGTTTCTCATGAAAACAGATAGAGATATGCAATATTGACCAGTCAAGGACTCATTGACAGTTTCTTTCAGCAAAGAAATAGAAGAAAGTAGAACAACTATGTTAACTATCCTGCATATACATACATACAAAATTTCTCCTTCTTTTCCTTCTCTTTTCCCCCATTCCAGTTGCCCATAAACCTTGAGTGTTTTCCTGTCATTTTACAATGTCCATCATACCTCCTAGTTTAAATTAACTCTTTCAGGTTTTACACTAGTGAAACAATGAAATGATTGCACATGCAGGTCTGATTTATTTCACTTATGAGTATGGTCTCTAGTTGTGACCATTTATCTATGAAAGCCACGAGTTTATCTTTCTTTATAGCTGAGTAATATTCCACTATATAAAAGTACCACAATTTTCTT